GGTATCTGCATTTTAAACAAGTTTTCCTGAGGATTCAAAAGCAGACGAACACCATTCTCTGAAATTGAGAAACAATTCAGATTATTTTAGGACAATCTTAGTATTTTAGAACATAAAAGATTTTCATGTTAAGTACCATAATCTGCTCTTAGGCATGGTCCAATTCCATCATGATTACCATTCACTGTCCCTGCTGCTAAGTATTTGTTATTAAATGGCAAAAAATTTTGCTCTTGCCCTCTTAATTGCAGTCACCACATCCTCCACAAAGAAATATTGCCCATGTATCCTTCATTTGTAACCCATATCATTAGGTACTTATTTCTGTGGCTGAGGCAGCTAAGCACTTGAAATATATATTACACAACAGTGCAGGGGTCCCCTACTCATTAAAATGATACTAAAGTCTTAGGGTTTTTGTTTTTTTTTTTTCTTCACAGCAGGTTGGCAATCATTCAATTATAGTGTAATTCAGTATTACAGCTCACTTTAGTTGAAGCAGTTCATCTCCATTCTGATTATTATGTTCAAAGGTTTACTCTATCCAGATGCCAAGTTTTCACAACTGGACAAAAGCAAAGAGGAAATATTTCTGTTTGGCAAGGCCTGGCAAATTTTTGGAGGTATTGTCATGTCACAGCAGGGCACTGGTCAGGTTGTAATTTGCCTTAATTATTCTTCCCACAAACAGCAACAATGATTACCTCTAGGTCGCTGGCATTCTAAGAAGGATTTCTTCCCAGCCACTGTAAAACCCAAAATACTTTCCACAAACACCTTGCTCAGGATTCAACTGCAGAGAATCTTAGAATCTGACCAGTTAGTGTATTGACCCGGTACGTGCGTTTAATGGGTTAAGTCACAAACTTGCCTATGTATCTGTGTGTGCACGTTAGCAACATAGAAATAACTCTGAGAAATCACTGGTGTCCCATAAAAGCACCAGTGTTATCTACCCATAATTCATTCCACCTGCCATGTTTACAAGGCACCCCAAGGAGAACTAGAGTAAAACCCGGCAATCCATCTGCCTCCCAGCTGCAACGGGTAATTATTACCTCAGCTAAGGAGGGAGGAATGCACAGCATGCTGCTAACCATGTCAGGTGACTGATGGAGGGGACTGACTGACTTATCCAGGTCCTGGGCTTTTCCAAGAGTGGCTGGAGTCACAGTAGAATGACAAACAGAATTCACTACCAACAAAGAGAGGGGAGAAGAAAGGACAAGAAGACTAATTCAATGGGCCACACCCAGGACACAAATCACAAATATGGGTGTGATCACTTCTCATGGCATGTTAAAACAAGAAACAAGGGGGCAGGAGGGTTGGGGGAAGGAAGATGCAGTGTTGGTATTCTGAGCCACTGGTTACAAAAACTGTTTAAAAATGAAAGTTGCGGGGGGCGCACCTGGGTGCGTCAGTCGTTTAAGTGTCCAACTTTCTGAATTTGGTTCAGGTCAGGATCGCAGGGTTGTGGGATGGAGCCCTGTAGTGGGCTCCGCGCTCAGCGGGCAGTCTGCTTGAAATTCTTTCCTTCTCCCTCTGCCCCTCCCCTCTGTTCGCTCTCTCTCTCCCCCTCTCTCTAAAAATAAATAAATAAACTTAAAAAATAAAATAAAGAGGGGACATGAAAGCATGTTTTGTTTCTACTGACTTAATGTTAATTGTACTTCCTTATGTATTATTCTTTTTTTTTAACTTTAGTTAATATTTACCAAGAATATATAATATTTTACTTGCCATGCACACAGAATAGGGCCTGGCTTCCAATACCATATAAACTTAACTGTGCCCAATAAAGGTCACAGTGACTAAGACTAAATACAAACTGTAAAGGATAGACTGTTTTATCAGGAGAATGATGTCGGAGTACAAAACGTACGTGCCGATGAAGTGCACAAAACACAGGGATATCTTCAAAGAAATCTGTTAATAAGAAGCTATTAAAAGAAACGCTCTTTGGGGATACACCCCAAATGAATTGCAAAAGGTCACACACAACTCCTTTCTCTGAAATGAGGGAGATACAACATACAAATTAGCATATAGAATATCAAGTCATTAAATGTTCCTTGTCAAGACTCCCCAGGGAAAATAAGGGGAAGGCAGTGAAGTGGGGGAAGGAATGGAGAGAGTAGGCAAAAATGGACAGGTCACTTTGAAAATACACGATTCCTGGTCTTTTGATTTCACAGATCAGTAAAATTAAAAGAAAAACATAAGGGAGATGTGGAGAACACGTAGAATTGTCATTTGTGTTGCTCAAGTTTAACCACCATCCACCATCCTGACTTTTGCTATAAGATTATAAAATAAAAATATAATATAATATAATATAATATAATATAAAGGATAAGAAAGCCAGACTCTCAAAGTAAAGGATAATTCTTTATATTACGTAAATTTAATTTCATGTAAACTCACATCCTTCTTCTAAAAACTGAGTATCTGAGAACATACGATGCTCTTCACAATTAATGCCTTTGATACAAATTTGGGGAAAGAGTCTCCAGTTTGCAGTTGTGAAAATGTAATATTCAAATTAAATTGCATCATGTTCCTCCATAATTTCACTACCTGATTGTAAGACTCCCCCTAACTCTGCATGTCTCCTTTTGCATTAGTGAACATGATGATTTATAAAGAACACAAGCTAGTGCAGAATGATCACTGTAAGGCTATGAAGCTACAGAAGATCTCTAAATTATTTTAGTTTAATCCTAGCAGAGGATGGCATTTTTAATGTGTGCATGTGCCTTGGTCTCTAACTTAAATGCCACAATTAAGCAGCCAACACATACTCTCACCTCAGTGTTAAAGTGGCTGGATTAAAACCAGCTATTTCCCCCTGCTGGTTGGACATGTCGTACATTCTCTACCTCACTGCCTACAGCTTTAATGTACCCCATAGTCCCAAACCCATTTATTTCCCATCCACCAACTGACCTCCTAAAGCATCATTAACACGCCCCCAAAGGGGGTTCCTGTCAATTTTAGTCAGCGCAGTACTCAAAGCTGTCGTGGGGTCTGGGGGGTGCTCCATAGGAAAGGAAGGCAAAGAAGGAAAGGCACTGACCCAAACCTTGGGGAAGCACCAACACAGAAAGATGAGGCCTAGGAACAGAGGGACTCCTATCTGGAGACTGGATGCAAGGCTAAAGATGGAAAGACAGGTTTATGGACATCCATAATTAGATGCTTCTGCCACTCAATTCTCAGCTAGTTAATGGCAGAAGGATCAATATCTACTTTCGATTTTCATGTACAGCATTATGGCCTTAGTGGGAGACAGGTCTCCCGGGAAGGAGAGATCATCCAGGAATGGGTCTTGGAAAGAGTGAGTCATAACCAAAATTAATAATTTTATTGGTTTGCCTAATGTATTTTCTAAAGTATATGTGGAGTTTTTCTTTTGTTTTGACCATCTTTTTTTTTTTTTTTCCTTCTAACACTACTCACCTTGAAGTCAGTCACAGAGAAAATGACTATGTGGAGAAAATATCGGGAATAAATGTGGAATGGAGTTATATAAACAAAGCATGTCAGTTTGAAATGATATCCCCTGGGTTCATCCACACTCAAACAGAGCGATTCCTGAGCTCCAAAATGGAGTTAAAGGAAACAGCACTGCCTTCAGCAAACATGTTTCCAGGTTCTAGGTATCTTTGTGTTTTCTTCTTGCAAGAGTATCAAGCAAACCATCAGTGGGTCTCCATTTTAAACTAGATTCATATAATCCAAATGGCAAGAAACAAACTTAAAAATATAACATTTTGATAGAATTTTTTTTTTTTCAGAATCAAGCAGAAAATTTGAGGCTTTACAGAGAAAAATAATTAGCAGCATAGTATTTCTAATGTATAATTTATGGATGGGATAGTTATTCCATGAAATTATGTAAGAAATCCAAAGCTGCACTTAAAAGAACCCTGAAAAATATATTGATACTAAAAATAATGGGATATTGTATCCTGCTAAATTAGGAAATTAATCACAGCATCTTGATTCACATGTCCCTTTGCATACATGCGTTAACCTTCTAATTACATTTTCCCTAAATAAGCCCTAAAAATTATCCACTATGAAACATTCTTCATTACTTACAAGACAGTCACTCTTTTAAATTTTACCCAATTTTCTAATACTTCTCAAAGAATACAAGTCATTCCAAGTCATGTGCTTTAATGGGTTGTAATAGGCTCTGTCTTTGATAATGGTGGCACCTTCAGAAGCTATGAAGAGATTTGTGCCTTTGCCAAATGTGCTCACAACTTTAAGGAAACTTCCTTAATCGTGTGCCAAAACTGACATCCCTAGTTCATTTTTTTAAGAACCATCACGTATTAAGCGCCTCTATAAGTCAGGCACTGTACTAGGAGTACCTTTAGGTCTCATTCAACACTACAGCAACTGTATAAGGTAGGTGTTATCATACCATTTTATGGATGTAACAACTGAGGCTGAAGGAGGTTAAGCCACTTGCCCAAGGTCTTTCAGCTTGTAAAGGCGAAAAGGTCAGGGGTTCCAGCTCAGGTGTGGCGGATTACAAAGCCTGTGCTCTTTTCCTCTAAACGACAAGGTCAGGCTTGCCCTGGGAGATAAGCCTCCTTGATCCTGACCTCATTCATTAGGAGTTGTTTTGTCTTTGGGGATTCTATAATCAGAAGTACACAGGTTTATAAAGGTTGCTATTATAAAAATGCAAGCTAACACATTTCCCAGATTTAACAAAGGAATCGTTTTCTAAACAGTCATAGAAACAAAAGTTAGATTTCATGTGGTAAATTATAAACTAGAATAACATAGAAAAACAGGTGCAAATTTCCATTAGGATTGAACCACGTGAAGGTCAAAAGGGCCAAAAAGGTGCAACTTCAGACAATTCATCCTAATAGTAGAAGTGTAGATCTAGGCTCTAAAGGGCACACCCCAGTCCATTCACAATGCACCAGCAGAGCACACACTTCGTGACTGGGTGGCTTCCAGGGGTACTATACCTGAGCAGAAGCTGTTGCTGCTTATGGTCCTCGCTGAGCGCCCAGAGCTGCTGGCATTGAACTCTCTGCTCTCTTCCTCAGAGAAGGGAGACTCAGAAGCTGGGGACACTTTGTGCTGTTGCTGGGGCAGATGGGGCCGAAGAATCAAACGGGGAATTCGGCTTCGGGTAATCTCCTTCTCATGATGCTGCACTCTCTGCTCCTTCTCAAAATTGGACATTAAAAAGAAAACAAAAGGAAACTTGTTTCTCCCCTCTTAACTCCTGTTTGTTCCTCTTAACTCCTCCTGTTTGTTCCTCCCTTCCTAAGAAATCACATTTCTGAATATTGAATCTTCACAGAGCAGTCCTTATCTCAGTAGCTTAAATGAACATCGAAACTCTGCCACCAAGCTAATCCTTCCAATCTACTGAAGAGCACATACTTGAGCGTGGGTGAGCGTGTGCACACACACACACACACACTTCCACCCATTAGCAGGAAAGCCATTCCATTCACCCATGCGATTCCTAACTCACCTTCCCACTCTGGCTTTTTCTATCACATTCAAGCTTCCGATGCTTCTCTTTATTACTCACAGCACACTCTGGCTTATTACTTGATTTCTTCTAGACTTCCATTTTGCTTTCCCTGAATTAGCTGTGACAATCTGATTTCTGCTTTCCGGTCTGCTCACAAAGTAGAACCCTATACCTGGAACAATTCTTTCCTGATAGATCATGCAGACTTATCTTTCAAATCCCTCCTCTTCCGGCCAGGATCTTAATTATTCATTAATATCCTGGTACACAAGGCTTGTTGCCAACAGAAAAGCAAACAAAAATCCAATACCCAGTAAGATGGCTCCACCTTTTACATCATGTTTAGCTTTTGTTTTCCTTACAGGACACCCAGGAGAAGAGAGTTTTCTCTCTCTCCTTAAAAACACGGCATTAAACACAGAGGGCGATGCCGTGGTTTTAAAAATGCATAGGAAGTAATATTTTGGCAAGGTTTTCTAATTTTTAAAGTGCTTTCCCAACCATTATCCCATTTGACCTTTACAACCCAGGCCACAGAGAAGACACTAACTTAAATCCTTATTTACAGATGAGGAAACTGAGGCTAAAAGCTTAGGCAACAAGGCATATCATCTAGCAGCAGAAAAAGCCTTAAGTCGTGTTTTTCGGGGTCACCACCACCCTGCCTTATTAAAATGGATTCCTAGGAGGAGCTCTTTGCAAAAAACTCACCGCTCCCTCCAACCTCTGCAATTGAAAAAGGCCTTTGGATTGGGTAACAAACACTATTTGGAAACATGACCTCCTGCCCATTTCCACAAGGCTTACCAGGAAGGGTCGCTGCCAAAGTAAACACCTCAGGAGGTCTGCACAGTGCAGGAATTGAAGGGAAAGCCTCAGCCGCGGGGAGCTCCTAAGGTCGCCCAGGCATCCACCCCATCCAGGGCGAAAGCCGCACCCAGCCTCGGATTTGTTCTGCACATCAGTCACCCAGCAGGTATCCCACGTCAGCCACTCTCGGCACACTGCAGACCCTGAACCAATGCTGGGTCGCTGACATGCAGGGGGACCTTATTTCTCAGTCACCAGAACACCAAATCCTTTTTATTCACATCACACACTGGACATCATTTGAGAGCCAGATCCCGAATCCCCAATTTCAGGAGATGGATTAACCCTCCAAAGCCAATCTTTTAATCCTCATGTCAACCCCTCAAATCTTTTCCTCCAGTACCATCTTCCCATCTCCTGGGTCTCACCACCTGAAGCAAATGCCCCTCTACCCTCCCAGCGTCCCCACCACCTCCCTGTCCCCATTCCCCGCGACTCTGAACGCCACCCCTCCAGCCCTCACCTGGCTCGCCCATTGCCCCGCAGTCTCCCCCCCACCGATCTCCCGCGCCCACGGACGCTGCCAGCCGCGCTCGCACGACGTGCCCTCCTTACCTTGGTCTCTCGAAGGGGTCCCATCGCTCTGCTGCCCACCGGGTCCCCGCGCCGCCGCTGCCGCCGTCCAGGAGGAGGCACCTGCAGGCACGAGAGCGAGGACACTGCGCTGAGCCGGCGCGGGCTGCGGGCGGCGGCTGCTGCGGGGCCCTCACCTGTTCTGGA